AATCATTTTTACGTTTTGGGTATGAAGTTTCTTTAAAAAATTTAGACAAAGGTGCTATTTCCGTTTTGGGTCCCTATGGAATTTCCACCGCATTTTAAAAATTAGCAAAGCAAATAAGTAGACTTCAAAGTGGCTTTGTGTACCATCATACTTTTGTTGTTGTTGCTGTTGTTGTTGTTGTTGTTGTTGTTGTTGTTGTTGTTGTTGTTGTTGTTCTTCTTCTTCTTCTTCTTCTTCTTCTTCTTCGTCTCCTCCTCCTCCTCCTTCTACTCCTTCTGGTTGTGGTTGTTGTTGTTGTTGTTGTTGTTGTTGTTGTGCAGGTCGACAGCGTGGAGCACGGCTATGGTGCCCAGGTACCAGTGTGGAGCAAGGCTATGGCGCCCAGGTAAGTACCGCGGACGCAGGTATGGCCTCCGCCACTCTTCTTCTTCTCCTTCTTCTCCTCCTCCTCCTCCTCCTTCTTCCCCTTCCCCTTCCCCTTCCCCTTACCCTTCTCCTTCCCCTTCCCCTTCTTCTTCTGGTTGTGGTTGTTGTTGTTGTTGTTGTTGTTGTTGTTGTTGTTGTTGTTGTTGTGCAGGTTGACAGCGTGGAGAACGGCTATGGCGCCGAGGTACCAGAGTGGAGCACGGCTATGGCGCCCAGTTAAGTACCGTTGACGCAGGTATGGCCTCCGCCCCTCTTCTTTTTCTTCTTCTTCTTCTTCTTCTATTTCTTCTTCTTCGTCTACTCCTTCTTCTTCTTCTTGTGGATGTTGTTGTTGTTGTTGTGCAGGTCGCCAGTGTGGAGCACGGCTATTGTGCCCAGTTAAGTACCGCTGATGCATGTATGTGTTGTTGTGGTTGTTGTTGTGCAGGTCGCCTGTGTGGAGCACGGCTATGGCGCCCAGTTAAGTACCGTTGACGCAGGTATGGCCTCCGCCCCTCTTCTTCTTCGTTGTTGTTGTTGTTGTGCAGGTCGCCAGTGTGGAGCACGGCTATGGCGCCCAGTTATGTACCGCTGACTTAGGTATGTGTTGTTGTTGTTGTCGTTGTTGTGCAGTTCGCCAGTGTGGACCGCTGACGCTGGTATGGCCTCCGCCCTTCTTCTTCTTCTTCGTCTTCTTCTTCTTCTTCTTCTTCTTCTTCTTCTTCTTCTTCTTCTTCTTCTTCGTTGTTGTTGTTCTTGTGCACGTCGCCAGTGTGGAGCACGGCTATGGCGCCCAGTTAAGTACCGCTGATGCAGGTATGTGTTGTTGTTGTTGTTGTTGTTGCTGTGCAGGTGGCCAGTGTGGAGCACAGCTATGGCGCCCAGTTAAGTACCGCTGACGCAGGTATGGCCTCCGCCCCTCTTCTTCTTCTTCTTCTTCTTCTTCTTCTTCTTCTGCTTCT